CCTCCCCTGGGATCTGGTCAAAGCTCTGCCGGAGGCGGGAGTTGAAGATCTCTCTGACAGGGGATTCTGCTAAACGTTCCCAACAGACCCTCACAATACGTTTGGGTCTGCCGAGTCTGTCCAGCTTCCTCCCCCGCCATCGGATCCAGCTCACCACCAGGTGGTGATCAGTTGACAGCTCCGCCCTCTCTTCACTCGAGTGTCCAAGACATACGGCTGGAGGTCAGATGAAACAACCACAAAGTCGATCATCGACCTCCGGCCTAGGGTGTCCTGGTTCCATGTGCACTGATGGACACCCTTATGCTTGAACATGGTGTTCATTATGGACAAACTGTGACTAGCACAGAAGTCCAATAACAAAACACCACTCGGGTTCAGATCGGGGGGGCCGTTCCTCCCAATCACGCCCCTCCAGGTGTCACTGTCGCTGCCCACGTGGGCGTTGAAGTCCCCCAGTAGAACAATGGAGTCCCCAGTCGAGGCCTTTTCCAGCACCCCTCCCAGGGACTCCAAGAAGGCCGGGTACTCCACACTGCCATTCGGCCCGTAGGCACAAATGGCAGTGAGAGACCTATCCCCGACCCGAAGGCGCAGGGAAGCGACCCTCTCGTTCACCGGGGTAAACTCCAACACATGGCGGCAAAGCTGGGGAGCTATGAGCAAGCCCACACCAGCCCGCCGCCTCTCACCGCGGGCAACTCCAGAGTAGTAGAGAGTCCAGCCTCTCTCGAGGAGTAAAGTTCCAGAGCCCAAGCTGTGCGTGGAGGTGAGCCCGACTATATCTAGCTGGTACCTCTCAACCTCCTGCACAAGCTCGGGCTCCTTCCTCACCGGTGAGGTGACATTCTATGTCCCCAGGGCTAGTCTCCGTGTCCAGAGATCAGGTTGTCGGGGCCCCTGCCTTCGACTGCTGCCCAATCTATTGTGCACCAATTGATTGTCAGGATCAGGCTGGTAGAAAACCAACAATGTGAATGGCGGACTCTATTATAAGGCCAGGCGAGTTAGTTTCCTGTTGGTAGGGCACAGGAGACACAGACACTACAACAATTCAAGAGACAATCCAAATCCAAAAACAGTCCTGGTTCAATGCCGGCAAACACTAACATCCGAGGGATCCAAAAACGGGTGGTCAAAGAAGCCGATCCAAAAGTCGATACACAGATACACATACAGCAATCAGGAGTGCTAGGCAGAAATCGGTGGTCAGAGCTATCCGGGGTCAGAATCAAAATCACATGCAACGAGAGAAATGCTGGAAAGTCTGTACGTAAGTCAAGAACAATCTGGCAGCTTTCTGGTGGAGGGAAAGCTGCTTATATCGGGGTGAAAACAGGTGTAACCTATTGAGTGCTGATTAAAGTGAAGAGTCTATAAGTGAGGTGAGACAGAAACAGGAACTGAAAACAAAATGAAGGCATGATGCTGGAAGCCAGCAGGACAAAACCATGACATTGATATCAGGCATTTTACGGGCGATCCTTAAGCATATCAACATCCACACGCAGTTTCAATAGGAAATGCATTTGTCTAGTTTGCACATTACTTTCTTTCCTTTGTTCTCTCAGGCTTATATTGTTTACTTGCCCATTGCTACCTTACATAAGGACATGGACATACTGTACACATTGAGAGCTGCTGTACCAGAGTCAAATTCCTCATATGTCCAACGCACCTGGCCAATAAAGCTGATTCTGATTCTGATTCCAAGATATTTTCAGAGTTTCTGGGGATATGACATGCTGTATTGTGTCAGTAAACCTGATTTGGGCTTCACTGTTACTACACTTTTAAGGTTGAGTAGAATTTTTTTTTGCAAACAGAAGCATAATCCCCATCTCCGATGAATAGGTAGCAGACTATTTCAAAATTCAAAATATATTTAACTGCTCTGCCTAATCATTGTACTGGGTTTCAGGGTTGGCTGGACAGTGTTTAAGAAGCCAGTTCCCCCAGGATTAATTTCTCTCATGCTTTGCCTAATTAAGGTATTAACAAAATGTAATAAACTCTAACCAGAGGATGCTTCCAAGCAGCACATTGCTTCTAGCTCCAGTCGCCACATCACATATGAACTTAATCTAAGTATTATGTAGTGGCTACACAAGATAAACACATTTACTTAGAGCTGTAAAGCCCAGTGATCGATATACGCTGTTCCTTTGTTTACTCGCTTGTTTGTATTATGATTGCCTTCTGGTCATTCTGAGAAGTGGAGAAGCAGTAAAGCTGAAAGGTTAGGAGTAAAAAAGAAGTAGAGAGTAAGAAAGCTCTGTCTCAGTAGTTTTCATTCTCATCATCATCTCATCAAAATGTGCTGCCTTTTCAACAAGTCTGTGTGTGAAAGGTCCAATAATGAGCTTCGGGTTTGTGGTGCTGGAGTCCTTTTTGTGTACAACCCACATAAGAGTCTGTCTGACTTCAGCTATTATTTAGTGCTGAGACTGAGTCTGAAGCATGCAACCAACATTAGTTTGAGTGTGTCTCTCCAATTGCTGCTTTGAATACAATGAGGACTTCAGCTGTCCCCACAGCACAGCAATTATGTCCTCAATGAATTATCTAGAACCATCAGACAAACTGGGCTAAGTATTGAATTGTGTCTTTAAAACCCTTTCTCAAAAGGTGAGTCTTGTTTTTTCATCTGAACATAAACTAAATGAATGAGTAAAATTGCTAAAAACTTTCCAGTCACAAAATCACTTCTCTAACCTTTAGGCCAACATCACCCTAGAGTGGCCTCATGATGACAGTTACTGAATAACTTCAGCATGCTTTAATGGTCTCTTTTCTGCTCTAATAAAGCTTTGAATAAACTTCAGGTCACACAAATTGCAGCAAGTGCTGACTCCAGCTAAAAGAAGAGAATACCTGCTTTAAAACATTTTATTTGCTGTTATTTTTATAAGAAACCTTAGGATACTGTACAGTGTTTCTAAATCACTCTGGGGATTAGCATCTGAATACATAACAGTTACTCTCACAGTCTGGTATAGATCTCTTAATTCATTCATCAACTCCCTGGCCAGGTCTACCTGTGTTTAATTACACAATCTTCACCTCTAGTACAGCACGAGGACCTGCTGACAGCTCCTCATGGTTTCAAAGTATACTTAGTCAGCATTGCATTTATGTAATGGCATACTGTACATCAGTTTCTGCTCCATTATTATTATTATTCTTTATACCCTTTCTTTATGTTTTTACAAATCGCTTTCAGACTGCTTAGTTTATGTTATGAAATCTGGTCTCTTTGTTGAGATACTTTACAACTTGGATCTGGTGATGCAGTATACCAAGGTTCACAAGATCTTGCTGGCCCTCATTGCTGCACTCTCAGAAACTGTGAATCTGTTAAACTGTTATGTCATTAGTACAGTATATGTGAAGCAGAATTTAACCTAAAGTGACCCCAGATGTTTGTGTGCTGTGTATAAGGTTCATTGCCATGTGGTATATGAAAAGGCAGGTTATGTGAGAATAAAGATGTTTTATTGCACATTATATGATGAGATTATGAGCTTAGTAAGATGTCTTTCATTTCAGATGAGATCTAGTCCAGTAGGTTAATATCGTCAATTGCTTTTACAAAAAGGAACCTTATTGTGGAATATTTTATTTTTCAGGCAGATGTTCTGTGTTTGCATAGTTATGGTATATGTAAGAAGATGGTTGTTGTCTGACAAATGTTTTTTTCCCATTGCAATGAGACTTCTGATCAGTGGTGGAAGAAGTACTCTGATGCCTTAAGTAAAAGTAACAATAGAACTGTGAAAAAATGCTTTGTTGCAAGTAAGTGTTCTGTTTTCAAAATGTTACTTAAGTAAAAGTACAAAGTATTAGCATCAAAACATACCTAAAGTACTAAAAATAAAAGTATATACTGTATTATGCTGAATGACACATTTAACACATTGTATATTAAATTATTGAATTATAATTACTGATGCATTATTGTGTACATCACATTTTCTGTTGCAACTGGTAAAGGGGGAGCCAATTACCTTATTATGCTTTTTAATTAGAAATACTACTGGGTAGCTTGTGAATTTTCCAGCATCTTATGTCTTTTGATAATACTGTAATTTTTGTATTAATCTGATTATGAGAAGTAATTAGTAACTAAAGTTATGAAATAAATGCAGTGAGTTAAAAAGTACAATATTTGCCTATAAAATGTAATGTGTCAAAGTATGAAGTAGCACAAAATGAAAATACTCAAATACAAGTACAAATACCTCATAATTGTACTTAATACAGTACTAAATTTTACACCTCTGCTTCTGATATAGGTCCATGTGGGCTCAGCACAAGTACAGTGCCTGATACAACGTGTAAAATAGCAAAATAACTAATTATGGAACAACACTGTGTTACAGAGACAAGAGATGCAAAGTTTGAAGTTCTGTTGTTCATAGAAGGTATGACGAGAGTTTCTTCAATTGCGGATGGGATTGTTTCATTGTAGTGGGGTGATGTTTTTACAATCTGTACAAACTTGAAGAAATTTTCACAATTCAGTTTTCATTAGCGGCTGTTTTACACGTTTTCAAAGTTAATGTGAACGCTCCATTGTGGCGCTAAAGCGCTTCAGCACCGAGGACAGCTTCCCGAGTTGTGAGAGGCTTCAATGATGCACTTCCTTTCCAATTTATCGAATTTGAATTATCCTAAAATAGACCACTTCGAATAGCCGGTGGAGGGCATTGTAAGGTTGCCAAATTTTATTCCTAAACGTATTAATTACATCGTTCAGACAAAGGCAACACGGGATTATGCGGCCAAATCTTTCTTTCTTAAACCCCCTCGATGTCCGCCTGTCTCATAAATTAGGGATCAGTACAATAATATCTGTGTGTGTGTTGTTTCCTACATCAGATCATTTGCTGCATCGCACTGACCAAACAACACCACACGAGAGGGCCATCATCCATAAATGTAGTTGATTTGGTTTTGAATTCAGTTTTATGGTGTTAGATGCAGGAACTTATGGTATTTACGTCAACCTCAGAAGAGCCAAAGCCACCCCTCCTCCTCCTCCTCGGCCCGCATCCCCCTCTATCCCTCTCCTTCTATTTGAACAGAGAGCCTGCGGAGCACTCTTTTGTTCAGCAGCGCTCAGCTGCTGGTGAGGTGAGCACCACTCTAGAGCTGGCGCTCATCCACCCATCACGGCTGCTGCTTAGGCTCGTCTCCTGAAGACACGCGGACTCTGCTTTAGACTGAGACCCACTGCAGCCTAAAACAACACCGTCCCCTCGGCGTATCCCTATCTACTAGACACCCACAACTGCTTCATTTGCACCCATACTTGCGGGGCTTTTACGCGTCGTTGGATGGTTCGGATCCCTGTCTGTGGCTCTATCAGACCGACGCTCCTGTAAGGCTGCAGTATCGCTCTACATTCCTGTGGACTGGACCTCACTTCATCAGAAAGGTGAAGGCGAGTTGTTTTGGGAGTTTTTAATATGATAATTTCCAGATAAACTCAATTTGATGTTGTTTTTTAGTCCCACTTGCACAAGAAAAAGGTGTTTCACAGATTTTGTTATAAACAGTCAGTTGTATATTAGCTATAGGCATGTCAATACTGTTCCAAGACAAAGATTTACAGCTATGGTCAAAATTACACGCGCACTATAATATTAATATAATACAAAGATGTATAGCCATTGTAAGAGTATTAGCCCATATATTTTAATTTTAAAAATCCCTTTAGACTAATGATTACGTTACTGATTTTTAGGCAGGTATTTGCTGTTTTAATTTAGTGTTAGTTTTATAAGAGACCATTGTTTTCAATGCATGCATTTTGAAATCCTTCTTATCACAAAATCATTCCTACCACTGTATTGGGGAAATAAAGGTAGTTTTCCTGGAAATTTCTTGTGGTCTTATCGCATTGTAGTGTGTTTAGCTTTTTTCAGGCTGTCATGTTTATGCATTTTCTTGCATCTGGTGGCAAATATATGAAGCAAAGCATCACTCCCTCTTTTGTCTTCCCCTTTGATTCTGAATCTCTATTCACCTCTTAAAGTGAAAATCCCCCTGTATCCTGCAGATAGAGATGGAGGGAGCTGGTAGTCAGTGAGAGTCAGTAGGCAATATAGCCAGGACTGTCAGCGAACCAAAGAGGGGAAGCCCAGGACAGTATCTTGGATGGCACTCACACTCCACTACAGGAGGTCGCTCACTTATTTCTGGTGGAGGAAACTTTGCTGTCATGCAGCAGGTTCTCTAGGCTACAAACTGATCAAAAAGGAGGTGGGCCAAGCATGGCTGGGTTGCCACAGTTGTGTACTGGAACATGACTTTTAGTGGGCTGTCTATGTGAGTCTCTCCACTGGTGGAGGTGCACCAGCATCAGTGCACCTTGGCACTGATGCTGGTGGCAAGTGGTAGCTCAACACCACCCATCTGTCCAAAATAAATATGGTCATTCAAAACAGTGTACCTACAAAATCTAAAAGTATCCCTTGGCAGAATTGATCCTGCACTACTTTTCCCTGATATTTTATCAGTTACAACCTCCCATCATCACATGTGTGTGAACCTTGGCCAAATGATCCTTAATGTTCAAGGCCAAGCCAATACTGTGTCATCATAGAGGCTGGCTGATGGATCAGGAGCTACTGTTTCCCAGCTGTTGCAGAGCAACACCAGAGGAATTAGAAAACACTTGGCTTTATTTTCATTCTGCAACGGACTGTAGATACAATGATCCATTCTCACTGGTTGAGCAGTCATTTGTGGGCCTTTTTGTGTAAGATACTGTATGTGTATGAATGGTGGTTTGTTGCTCATCTTTGTTGCCAGTTCCTGAGTTGTATCATTGAACTATGGTCTCCTGTTGCACTAATGGGATCTGGCTCCACATTTAGCTGCTCTTTAAGTCCCTTTGCTGAATTTTGTTTCCTTCTGTCACTCTCGTGTATATAGAAGGTCTCTATGATTGTCTTTCTGCCTCATTCTTTTGCTCGTCGTCTCCCAGTGTTTGGACTTTTGCGTTAGATCTCAGGCTCTGCTGTTAACGCCATTGTACTCAGAAGAGGTGTTCCTTCCTGTTTTATTGCCAGTTCACTGCCCCCATTTTCACATTTTCTGTGTGATGATACATTACAATAGATGAACAATATTCCTTTAGAGAAAAAGGTTCACTGTTTCAAAGTGGCCCCAGTCCAATTGTGTTTAAGGCCAAAAGCTGTTTCAAAGTGTTGCAATCACACTTTCAGGAGGTTGAAAGAAAATGAATGGTGGGTAAAGGAGGAACTGGGACAATTTTACAGCATTATCTGCTCTTTGTACGTGGTTGCTTTGTCACATATTTCAGTAATGTGTCTTTTCTGCCTGGCTGTGCCTAGCTTAGAGCAGACACTTGTAGTTTGAGACATTAATGGGCAAGAATTCAATTTTACACTTGAGTAGTGTCCAAGCATCTGAATGGGAAACTATGAATCTTTACAGCGATTTTGCAAATGTAAGACATTAATATTCCTACAGTGAACCCTTTTGCTGTACTTTAAACAAACAAAGCCATCCTGGCACAAGATAAAACAAGGGAGAGCAGCCAAGACACTGCACCGTATCAGTGTGGTGGATTTCTGGACTTGTGTTAGGCTGTTTGAATGGTGAAGGCCTCCAGCTAGATATCTTATAGTTGGAAGTATGGTGCTATGAGTTGCTTGTGATCCTGCTTGGGGGTAATATCTGGGTTCAGAAATAATAATTAAAAAAGATATTTATGACTGTTTTTGTTTGTGGTTTTTCTTGAACGTCCACAGCTATATGCTACAAATGTATTGTATGGAGCTTTGACTGTGATGGTAGAAAGGATAGGAGAGTTGCTGGAAGATTCCTGCAGAGAGCAATTAATTTACAGACATATAACCATGATCATGTTAAGTAATGAAAACATTCAAAGCAGCATACATATACAGTATATTCATCTTTATTTCTACAATTGGTCATGAGTGTATGTGCTTTCTATTATAAGTTCAGTTTCAGGTTTGTGTGTGGTAATGGAGTCTGTGAGCATACATTGTACATATGACCATAAATCATAATTTAGAATGTGTTCCACTTGGCACCCCCATTTCCCCAGTCACAGGGTCATTTCATCAGCTACATCTTTGCTTGCCAAAAGACTTGTCTGCTTAATTGACAGTTCTGTGTCCTTCCACTCCACCAACCAGACATTACTGAGCAGATGTAGCAGAGCCTAAGTGGACTGCTGATAGCTTTGCCTTGGCTAATAATATAATTGTCTGGCACTAGCTGTATTGAACTAGCCACCAAGCAAATGAGCAGCACAGCTGGGCCATCATGACCAATGGCTGAGCAGACAAAGCCCTGGAGGCATAGTTGTGGAGAAAAAAAATCACTTTACCAAATTCCCTCCTCATGAATATTCATCAAAGACCCCCCCCCCAAAACCCTCTCTGCACCCCTCTCCCACAGAATGCATTATTCAGAGGAAGCATTTTCCCTATTAAATACTATAAATAAATAATCACATTTGGTAACAGTTTTGTCTGCTGAATTAATGAAAGGGGCATAGTTGAGTATTTTTCACTGATTGGGGGAAGGGGATGTGCAGGGTTGATTTACTCACAGCTTTCCGCTCCTGGCCTCTCCTTTGTCTCACCGGTTGGGTGTGATACAGCCTTTGTTAAAGATAGTGAGCATATTGATCTGAAGTAGATCTGAACTGGATTGCACCCACATCTGTCAGTTCTGAAAACACCCTGGAGGAGAAGCAAATACTACTTAGCTGTTTATTTTACCATTATGCAACCATTTTTCTCTCTGAGTTAATCCTCAGAAAAGAAAAGCTCCCTGTGGAATCTTTATGTGGTTTTAGCACTGGGCAATTTCTGAAGAATTGCCTTTTTTGTCTACCTCTTCATTGTTCTTTCATGGTTAAATCTGGACAGGGCACATCTTCACATACCTAGTGGTTGACTGAGAGGTGCTTCGCTGAAGGATATCAGTATGCTCTGTTGGCATCATTATTTTACAGGCTCTATCTGTCAGACCCTGGTGAGCAAGGAAACAGGGAGTGCTGGAGAGGCCTACAGATGGCCAGTATGTCCACTCTCATGTGTTCCATTTCCCAAAGGGGGAGTGCGTTTTATTGTGTGTGAGCAAGTGTCCAGTTTTAATTTTAAGCGGTAAAAAGGAATCCCCACAATCTTCATAGTGCGATTCAGGAATATCATATTTAAAGCTGGAGAAAGGCAAGACATACTGTAGGTGGGTAGAAGATGAGAAACATAAGCTATTGTTAGAGAGAATAATTCCTGTCTGTCCTGAGCCTGCCTGAATTCCACACAGTGGGGAGCTATTTGTGAAGCCAAGGCATACTTATGAAGCTCTCTGCGCTAATCAGAAATCTAGCCCTGGGTTTGCAGAAACCAATCCCAAGGATTTATGGGAGAGAATAGGAAAGTAGTATAATTAATTTCCTTCAGATCCCTTGCACCCAGGTCAGACTGATCCATGCATGCGGATTTTCTATTTCATGTGATGGCTTTGTTCGTGGGTGTAGGGTTTGCACGTGTGTGTGACTTCAGTATTTTACTTTTGTTGCTATAAATATAGGTTATTAAGAAGATACAATGTGACTATCCCTCATTTTCACTATGCACACAAATGCTAAAAACCTTTATGCATAGAATGCCATAATGTATCTTTTCTGTAAAATATTGTGACTTCAAAAGGTTTGTTGTTGGTCTAGTTGTGATGAAAAAAGAATCAGTTTTGCTTTTTATTTAATATAGAAACCTGAAAAATATGGTTTCTTTAATCCTCCTGTTTGTCTCCCTGTAGGCACAGAGCTGTGAATAATATTTTTCTTAAGATTTTTTCTTTTGTTGTTGTGGTAATATTGCCTTTTAATGTTGTCATGCATCCCACAATTTTTCATTTTTAGATCAGACTGCTTTATTCAAAGACAGACACAGAAAGAAACAAATACATATAAGATTGAGCCATAACAACTGGCTGACTCTCACTGACATGGACAAATGCATGATAGGAGCATCAATTTACTAAACTCAGTAGTTACTGTAAATTTATATTTCCAGCTAAACCAAACCAAATTTGCTTATGTTGACAATATTACTCAAGGAACCTTAGTGACTGGTGACTGGCATACAAATAAATATAAGGTAAGAAGGAAATATCTTGCATGCCACCAGAGATACAGTGTTATTATCACCTGGACTAAGAATGAAGAACCTGAACGTTTGTACGATAAGACATGACAGCCCATCTAGTAGTTGTGGAGATGTATCATTCAAAAGCATAAATGTGAACCTCAGATTATAAGAATTTATCCTCTAGGCATCAAGGATTTTACAGTTGTCTATTCAGTAGTTGCTGTGGCATGTCATTAATAACACAAAACCTTACTGTGGTACAAGATGGAAAGAATTC